CGGGGGTAACTTTACACAATTCACCACAAGATACACAAATCCCCGGCGGCGGCGGCGCGGGGGTTCACGCCACGGGCGGGCTGGGCAGGGCCCCCCTCCCCAACCGCCGCAGTAAGGTCACCAGGAAAAGGAGAAAGAAAACACGACACCCTTCACAGCAGGAAACCAAACGGACGAGCACCTCAGGAACAAGAACTGTCACACTCCAGAACGCTATATACGAGAGAGAGGTCAGCGTGACGGCTCGGGGCAGGGGTCGCCTCGCAGGGGGAACGGGAAGCCAGCTGGCAGGGGAGCGGGTCCCCCGGAGCAGGACGGGAGACTCCTCGGACACTGCAGAAATACATCACTCGGGGTCCAACACTTCACCAAGAACAAAACCAAAACCAACGCGCTAGCATAGGGAAGCAGCGCTCACGAGGGGACCACGTCCCCGCTGACATCCAGCCCGGCACCTGCAGAGCTTCTTTACCACACAGGCAGCCTTCAGCCATGGCTTTGCACCTGCTCCCCCCTACACAACGTGTCCTCATCGAACACACTCAGCCACTCTGGGGCCACAAGCTAGCAAGCACAGCACAGCGGAGGAGAAATGACAGCGTTAACATCTGGTGGAGTCAGTGCTGCCGCCTGCTCTGTCCTCCTGACTCACAGTCTCACTCCAAAGGAGCGCAGTCTCTTACTGGCAACAGCACAGCTGCCACCCAGCAGGCAGGGAAGGACCCGGACATTCCTTGCTGCAGAGTACAACAGAAGCAAGTTCGCCACAGCTGCAGGATTGCCTGTCATCGCCTGCTCTGTTGATGGGGCCCTCCTCACACCACAGCCTCCAGCCCCTGGAGCTCAGTTCCTAACCAGCCCCATACACAAAGCCTCGGCTGCTCACCCTGCTGAGCTCAGAACGGCTCTCTAGCCAGGTTCGATCTCGGGCTGGCTCCCGGAGGGACAGGGTTGGGACTGACACCCCAGGCCCACTGGAGGTCTCCATGTTTTGGAACATCTCACCTCTTCCAGGCACCACCTCACCAGCTGGAAGACAAAGGTTAGAGCCCAGACCTCTGTGCCGAGTGCTGCTCAGTGCGTAGCCCGACCGGCGAACGGCTGGGAAGCGGCATGTCGGACACGTCAGCTCAGAGAAGAGAAAGCCCAGGGCTGGGAGGGGGAAGCCTGGAGGCGATGTTCTAACCAGCTCCTTGTTCAGGAAGTTCACTGGGAAAAGCATCCCAAACAGCTTCTCCCTAAACTCCCAGTCAATCAGAGCAAAGCTGATCTCCCCATCCCGCAGGAAATCCCCACCGACTATCTGCTCCTCTCCTGCCACATTGCAGCTTTCATCAGGTTTACCTGCTTCCCGGCCCAGAGGACAGCGGTATCAGTTCAGCTACGTGAGAAACACATCACCAAACTTTCAGCAGCCAGGAGATCACATGGACTTCACCCCCACGTCCTGCTTCTCTAAAACAACTCAGTAATCAGCTCAAATCTCTGGGTAGGGGAGAGGGGGATCAAAGTGTTTACAGAAATGGAGCCTGGCCACAAATGGCTTCTCAGCTGTGTCACACTGCTGTAAGTCTAAGTACTCTTCCAACACCCACAGACAGAAGCTGCACCAGGAAAGACAGTAACCATGCCACAGCTTAATTTTCAGTAATATGCGGACGCTCAGGACTAGCGCTGGTCCCGCACTGCCCAGAAGGCAGGCAGACTTGCCCCTCTTGTCAGACGAGTCGCGCGAGCAACACAAGTTCTGACCACAGGATCCAATTCCATTGGTCTCCTCCTAAACTCGGACAACTCTCCCTTGTGTTACTTCTCTACCACCTTTGCTGGAGGAAGGAAAGCGCAACATTTTCCCCACTCAGGTACCTGAGCTACCTGGTGTTGGCTGCTCAGCAAGGGGCCCAAGCTGCCCGTGCTCCTGCAGCACGCCTCTGCAGAGAAGCATTTTCTGGCCACGCATCACTACTTAGTTGCACCAGCCATTCGGTTTTGCCTTCAAGAACAGCAGCACCTTTGCCTGTGCGCCACAATCCTTCCGGAGAATTTGGAGAGATTCCAACTCAATCTCTCGGTCGAGCTTAGGGAAAACAACGGCAGCATGAAACGACAGCACATGGCAAAGGCAGCCACTGGCACCACCACACCACAGCGCCACGCAAGAGCTCAGAGAGCACAGAGAGCGCAACACAAGGGGACACAACGGAAGCCAGCAAGGTCGAGAATAAGTCACTTTTGGTACAATTGCAAAAAGATATCAAACAGGACTTGCCTCTTTTTTTGTCTTTTTCTAAGTTTTATAAATAAAGTCTGATAACTCTTTATAAAAACTAACCTCAGAGCCACAAACAGTTTGCGGGAGGTTCATGAGAAACTTTAAAATTATTTATTTATTAACTTTTAACTAGCAAAGTCTCCGAGAATATTTCCCCATTTATATGGTCAAATATTCTCGCCCTCTCAGATAAAAAAGCTGACTATAAATACGCTCTCTCTTCTGTCTGATTTTAATTTTAAACTTAGATAATTTAATAACTCTTAAAATGATGTTTCTCTCTTTAAATAAAGGGCTATTTAACCACATAAACTGGTTGTGTAAACCATCACACTAGAGACACTTGATACCCTCAGAACACGGGAACAACTAGTGATTTTGGTCTTGTTCAGTGCAACACATTAGGCACAAAACCGGCCTGCAGTCAACACGGTACCTTCCCTCCCTCCCCCGGGGTGCTGGGCCCCTGCAAGGGCCCCGTCCCGGCTCCTTCCCCATCGCTGGGGCAGAGGCAGCAGGGCACGACAGCATCTTCCTTTCCACCACTGCTAGTTTACACGGCTAACGCAACGGACGTCTGAAGGAAACCCACTGTTAGGGCACAGAGGCACACCTAGAAAGGAATAAAAACCTATGACACAGAACACCCCAACTGCAACTACGGGTACCAAATGAGACAAAAGCAGCAGGTTCAGGTGCCTGGCAGTCAGGCACCGAGATGCACCACCTGGAAGAGTAATGAAGTAAAGCCTTTGGAAGTGACTGAAAATTAGGGTTCCTGGCCCCCGGGAAGAAAGCCTCCCTCCGGACCTTCCCCAAGCCCTTCCGTCGCCCTGCCGTCGGCCACGCTGCACAGACTTTCTTTGGCTAGAAAACCAAGATCTCGCAGTCTGTCCCAAGGGCGCCCGAGGGCTACAGACCGCTGGGTGGGAGGCTCTGTCTGCAAAGGACAAGGGACGCATCACCACTGCTCATACCAATCTGGACACAACAAAATAAAACTGGAGTGATCAGCAGGCCAGTCCTGGGCCAAGTAGAAGGAACCCGGACCCGTGTGGGGAGGGTTTGTGCTTTGGGGATTCCAGGCTGGTTTTGTGCCTAATTGCCCTGCACAGACAAGCTCAGGCAACACTCGCTTCACTAAGACCGGGCGTCCGTTTTGGATTTCACTATTGTGATGACACTAGTAGTAGCAACCTTGCCAGGGACGAGGGGCCCCATACTGGAGGTGAGAGGCCCCCGCGCAGGGGTCACGGGGCTCCGGGCCACGGTTCTGGCGAAGTTCTGGAGAGCCTCATATTTGGAGCGGAGAGCATCGAGTTCCATTTTCATGCTGGCGTTCTCGGAGGCCAGCTTCTCCACTTCTTGCTGCAGCTCTGCCTTCTGCTTCTCCAGTTCCTCCTTCTGGGTAACACGCTTGACTCTGCAGCTGGCCGCGTAGCCCCGGTTCTTCAGCGTGCGCCGACGCTGCTTCAGCTGGATGATCTCCTCCTTCGACAGGCCCCGTAGATGCTGGTTCAGCTCCCGCACAGACATGGTCACCAGCTCCTCATCTGTCAAGCTGGTCCCATTCTCGCCTGGCTCCCGCTTCACCTGGAAGAGAAGGCAGCATATGCTCGTGAAACCTAGGGTGGATGCCTGCACCCACCACCCGCACCCCTTTCCTCCACATGCCTCTTTACCTTCAAGGCCTTGTTTCCTTTGTTGGGGGTCGTCATAACACGACAGCCTTGTCAATCAGGTTCTGGAAGGGAAGGAAGGTCAGGTTAGCTCCCCAGGACGCAGCAGAGCCTGCAGCATTCCTGTGGCAGGGTCCAGCAGCAACGCCCCATGCTGCTGCACGTCCCACTCCCCTCCCTGGGCAACACTCGACAAGCACCCGACAGAGCTGGACTCACAAGCAGCAAATTCTGTCGCTGAGCAGAAACTGCTGCCCTTCCACACCCCTGCTCCCACAGAGACTTTGTGGCAATGCTGTTTTGGTTTGTTGTGGTTTTTTTTTGTTGGTTTTTTTTTTTTTCCCTTGGGGTGGGGGAAATTAAAAAAAACTAGGAGGAGTCAGAATACACGGAAGACACATTTTTAAAAATAGCCTGGCAGGCAGCAGGCTGAGTCCAGAGCACGGCTGCTGCGGGCCAGTCATGCTGACTCAGCATGCTGTCACTCTGTGCCTCTTGCTCCCTGCCTCATCCCTGTAACTCCCAAGCAGAGCCCGGCAGCCAGCCGCTCCGACGCGCCCTTCCAACAGGTGCCCAAGCGAGCCCAGAAACTCCCCAGGACAGGACTCCTACCAGATTCTAGGTGCCCCCAAGGACCCAAACCAGTACGGCTCAAGAACACGCGACCCTGGGCAAGAAGCGCAGGGGAAGCCTTTGCCTCCGCAACACGCCTCGCTGGGCATCCTGCGGGACAGGAGAACACCACGGCTGCGCTCATGCCTCTCCAAACTTTTTCTGCTTCCCAGGAAAGCCAGCACATCCAGGTTCAAGTCAAAGTTCTGCGCCCAGCCTTTCCCAAAGAACAGAAGGACAACTGGATACTGCAGCACAAGGAAGCATTTGGGCACAGTGGAATCCCATCCCAGATTTGGGCTGATGCCTCAGCAGCCTCCACCTCTCCCGGTCACGGAAAGCTGACCCCAGCTGTAGGTCTCTTCTGTGAGAAAGTCCCTATCGGTCCCTGGCAATGCCAGGGCCCAGAACCACCTTCTCCCTCCCTTATCTTCAGAGCCAAGGTATGCTCATAAGAAAACAAAGATCAAGGGGGGCTAAAACCAATCCTTCACCGCCACGGAAGACAGGAGGTCAGAACTGCTAAGAGCAATTTCCAGGCCTCTTTTTACAGTGAATCATACCCAAGCTCCTGTTTCTGTCCCTACATACCTCCTCCCCTCAGAGGGGTGGTTCAGAGTGCTACTACACTGCCCAATGAATTAATCCACTCAGATATTGCTCGAGAGATGTAGCTGTGCCACAAGCAGCCAAGAACAGCACACCTCCTTAAGCAAGGCAAGCATTCCTGTGCAAGCACAGTCTACAAACACCTCTGTACCTTTCATCTCTTCTGTGCCAAACAGTCAACAACAATTTTGTTTGCTACTGCTTTGCTAGATGTAAGAGGCACTGATGTACAGTTATAGCCAAGAACCAGATGCACAAGTCAGCAAATACGAATTTATGCTCTTCTAGCAGCTGTGGCGCAGGCTCCCTGCAATGCATCTACCACCTATTAGAGGTGAACGGGGTCAACATTCCCCAGGACACCGGCAGAGACGTTCCCAAAGCCTCCAGCCTGCCAGCAGGCAGGCTATTTATACCCAGAGGACAATGCTCCTTCCAATGAGATGTCCGCTATAACCTGACAGTGCTGGTGTAAAGGGTCACTTTGCCGTCCGAGGACGGTAGCTGCAGTGAAGCAGGCTAGCACAGGACAGACAGCACACAAGCAGCTGCTTCATAAAATCAATTAATCTTGCCCATACTGTTGTGGTTTTTTTCCTCTGCTCCTACTTGGCAAACAACATGGCTGCTGGGAAAAGGGGAGAAGGAAGGGAATAGCTGGGGAGACCAATAACGTCACCCCTGCAGCACCTCTCTGCACCATCCTCTGGTGAGCGTAAGGAGCCAGGGGCAGGTATGGTCAGTGGAACCACAGAAATATGTTTGCCTTGTGGCACTAAAGAATTTCCAGCTGCCTGGCAAGCACTCAGGCTTCCTTCATTACAGCAGAGCTGAAATAAAACAACCAAGGCAACAAACATGCTGCATCAGGCAGGACATTGGGAGGAGAGCTCCTTGGGGCAGACTGGGGAGTCGGCAGGGGTACTCGCACCGTCCGGACCCTGCAAAGTCCCCCTTCCCACAGGGATCAAAATGAGACACAGCAACGCACAAGTCAGTCAGTAGAATGGGAAGAACAACCCAGGGACTAGTTCTTGGCTATTTTTTGGGTCCCGTTTGAAGGATCAGAGACAGGACTATTTGGCAGCTCGCAGAGAGGACACCCAGAGAACTGGCACCAAGACAGAGACCAAGCTTGGCTTAACTCTCCAGACTGCTGATTGCTCAGCTTTTGATAGCTTCCTGAAGAAAGATCACACTGAAAAGTGCCAAACGTGATGACTGCAATGAAGAAAATGCAGCCTCAACACATTTCCCCAGAGCTTGAAAGGCCTGAACTCAGCACAAGCGCAGCCAATTCTCTCCTCAGCTCAAAGGCAGCACAAGGGAGCTGACAGCACCATGCATGATTCAACACAGGCCCCATTCTCCACATTCCTGATCGCAGAACCGTGCCACGAGCCCCATGTAAACACGGTGACGTCACCCGTTCCAGCACAGGCTGGCCCAGAGACGGGCGCCGGGAGGGAGGGAGGGAGACCCATCTGAAGGGCAGAGGAAGGGGCCATGCTCCACAACAGGCTCCGCAGCAGCGGGTGGGCGGAGGAGTGTGGTTTGCTAGCAGCGGTCAGGCACGCTGCATGAGAACTCTCTCTCCCAGTGTGGATTTCATACTCTCTTTACTTGCTTTCTTGTGAATTAGCTCACGCAGCCCTCCCAGGAATTCAAACAAATCAGATGACTCCCCGAATTACTTATGGGGTCAGGACAGTGCCTCTCCTGTGCCCTCCCGGGAGTCCCTGGTGAGCTCACATCCAACCCAGGGCACTTTGGCAACAATTCTTCCCTCAAGGAATCTGCCACCCCAGCCGGCTTTAACTGTGCCTACATAGATAAAGGAAAGAGCTGGCTCTTGGAGACCCCTTCCAGCCTCCTGGTAGCGCCTTCCTCTAACCACGCAGCTCAAACGTCGCATATGGGGCAGTCAGAGACGTCCCCCCAGCTCTGAACGGTGAGACCCCCCCCACGCACACACAGACACAGCCGCTCCGTATCGGTCAGGCGTTGCAGCCTGCTCCGCAGCCCCGCTGGAGAGGCTTGCTTCCCACCGCAGGGGAAATCCGCTCAGCTCCAAGCGGACCCACAGCCCCAGCCCGCTCCTGGCGCCCACCAGGGACCGGGGGCTCGGCAGGGCAGCGAGTCCGCAGGCTCCTTGGGAACAGGGGCCAGAACCTCGCGGCTGCGTCCTCTCGGCCGCCAGCTCTCTCCCGGTGGCACCGGCGAGGTGGTGGCAGCATGGCTGTCCCACCTGCGGCAGAGCCTCCGGGCGGGGGGGGAGGGAGCCCCGGGAGCCAGGGAG